CCGCAGCTCCACAGCACGTGGTCCTCGTCGGGGGCAAAGTGCATGTACGGGGTGGTCTCGTCGGCCAGCCGGACGGTGTCCGAAGCGATGGCCGAGCCGGCCGCGAACAGGTCGGTCCCGAGCCTTTGCAGGACCCCCGACCGGAAGCGCTCCTGGACGGTTTCGCCGGGCGTGGCCGGGACCCTCGAGAAGCGCAGGACGGTCGAGTGGACGATCCCGGGGATGGTGGGGTAGGCCTTTGTGGTTGTGTTTGAGTTTGAATTTTTGTTTGTGTTTGCGTTTGCGTTTCCGTTTGCCGGGGCTGCTCCTTGTTCGGCGGCGGCGGCGGCTTCCCTCAGGCAGGCCCGGGCCGCCTCGATCCCCCCCGAGAGGTCCCTCCACAGGAGGATCCCGGCCTTTTTCCCGATCTGTGCCGACTCGACGACGAGGCGGAAGGGTTTTTTGGGCCACCCCGGGAGCCTTGCGGCCGCCTCCACCAGCGCCAGGGCCCGCTTGCGCTCGCGGTCCCGCCGCTGCCTTTTCTCCCCCTTGTCGTCTCCGCCGTCGTCGATCTTGTGGATCCGGGAAAAGGTCGCGATCGTGACGTGCAGCGCCGAAATCGGCTGAAAGTACACCGCCGGGACCCTTGTGGGAGCCTCCCCTGGTGCCATTTGTACGGAGGTGTCGCAGGGATCGAAGCAGGACCGGACGGCCGCCAGAAACTCCGAGTACTCGCGGCCCACGCCCTCCAGGGGAGAGGGAGGCCAGTTCGTCACGAGGACCAGGCCGGCGTAGTCCCCGTCCTTGCACAGGGGAATGTCGGACACCATGGGATCGGCCTCGAAGGACAGGGCGGGGCCGTCGCTGGGGGCGGGCCTCGGAGGCGGAAGCGGCGGTGCCTGCTGCTGGTGCTGCTGTCCCGTTTCGCCGCTGCGTTCGTTGCTTCCCGGTGCCATCGCTGTGCCGAATTGGATTGGATCGTATTGGATCGTATTGGAACGTATTGGTTTGGATTGGAAAATGGACTCGGTGCAGAAGTTCCCGTCGATTGGAATGTGGTTGGTGCGGTAGGATGAAAAGACTCCTTGGGGATGCGATGCGATGCGATGCGATGCGATGTGATGTAACGTGTTGGGCTGGGTTTGGTTTGGTTTGGTGGTTTGGTTCCGGTGTTGAGGCATCCGTTTCTCGCTCGATGAGAATTGTTTTTTCTTCGTCATGCCAGATCGATCGAACCCAGCAGAACGTCATTTTTCACGGCTTTATCCCACGTGGGAAGATGTTACATTCGACTCGCTTGACCCAAGCCGAATAGCGGAAGGCTCTTTCGTTCAGCACTAGTACAACTACTACAACAACAACAACAACTACTACTACTAGTACTCTTCCTCCTCCTCCTCCTCCTACTACTAGTAGTAGTACTTTGTACTACTACCAGTATGCTTGGCAGAACACACTAGGCGTTTCTCTTTTACTAAGTCACCAGCATCCAAACCAATGTGGTGGTGGTCGTGGTGGTCCACCAACCCTCCTCCCAAACATTGCTGGTGGTGGTGCTGGTGGTGGTCAACAAAAAAAGCTGGTGGTGCTGTCTCCTACTACTACTATGATTTCTTCTCTGGCCACAGCCAACACCATCAAGTTTTTGCTGAACAGCAGGCAGCATTCTTGTTCTTCTTGTTCTTGTTCTTCTCATCTTCTTCTTCCACAAAAGGACCACCAGACAGGAAAGGGAAACATCTTGTTGTTGTGATGGTGCAATGTCACCACAACATAAATAAGGAAAAATCTAGTATCAATAATGATACCAATACCACTACTAGTAGTACTAGTACTAGAAGTACTAGTAAGAAGCTTGTTGATCATAAGTTACACAATCACCAACAAGAAGTTCTTGTCTGTGAATTCTTCTTGTCCTTTTTCCAGCCCAACCCCCTAGTAGTACTAGTAGCTACTAGTAGTAGAGTAGTAGTGGTGGTACTATCATGTTGGTGGCAAGCACAATACAAACAAGGCACTGCCCATGAGGGTGCCGTGAGCGATACATCTGTCCCCTTGTCCAAGAAGGCTTGCCCACCAAGATGCCCCACCAAATACTACTCTCAGGGCAGTAGCAGGATCTTTCTGATGCTATCAATATTAGTAGTAGTACTACTTATCAGTTTGCATTTTAAAGTTCTTGTTCACAATAATTGTTCCAATTTTTTTCATCTTACCCTCGTCAGTACTAGTATCAGTAGTAGGAGTAGCAGTAGCTGCAAAAATTATGGTACCAGCACCAATACTAGTAATTTCAGTTTAGAATTTCTCCAATATCTCAATACATCATGCTGTTGCACTGCAATATTTCCAGCAGTGCAGGAAAGACATCCTAAAAGTCAAAACTTGGTAAATCCAGCCAAGCACTTGTTGTGGTAGTAGTTGTGCAAGTAGTACTACTACTAGTAGTACTAGTCGCTTTTGTAAAGTGGCTGTTTGATTTTTTGAGTGGTGGTTGGAATCTAGAGAAAGTGTACTGGTGGTGCTTTTCTTAATTATGTTGCAAATTACATTGCAATATGAATGCTACTATGTTGCTAAAGATTTTTACTATTATGAGTCCAGCAGTCATTCAGTCTTCCAAAAGTACAAAGTAGCTAATAAAGTACTACTACAAACCCCGTCTTCGAAGGTCTAGTAAGATCTCATATTAAAGTTTAAGCTTGACTATATTGCTTGGCCACACATGGATTCAGTCTTCTAACACTACAAAATCCCTCCAATAGCACAAGAAGCAAGGCCTGCTTTCCTGTCGCCTTCAGAATCATATTTCATGAATCGAGGGTAGCCGTCCAAAAGCTCCCGCGGTTTTTGTTGTGTTGTCAACGGTTTGGGGAATGTCCAAAAGAGAATGCTGGTCTGTGATCCAGCAACCATCACCGTGCCGCGTTGATTTCTAACACCACGACTGCCGAGCTCAAAGAATTGGCCATTCAGCGGGGCTTGTTTTCCGTAGATCCCTTTTCTTGATCCTTGAAAGACCCCGAGGTACGATGTTTGCCGAACGCTCTAGGAAAGACCACGAAAAATGGGTATGGAGGTATCTTACGGGTATGAATCGGATTCATAAGCTAGGTAACATATAATGCGGTCCGATACAGGTACGATTCCATTCGAGATCGCACGCCGCTTCGAGATTGGATCTTGTACTGAATCTAAGCAATCGCTGACATGGTGCGGGCGCGGCCGTTAATCCGTTCCTTTCTCATCTTCTCCTCGAAGGATTTCTTCCACTGCGGGAAGACGGTTCGCATGTAATGGGTGTGCATGTCCTTGTCGCGGTCCCACTGGTGAACCACCGGGCTGAGGGTCCCGTCCCAGTTGTAGACCTGCTTGGTCTCTTGGTTGTAGAAGCCCCACTCCTCGAAGGGTTTCGTCCGCAGGGCTCCGAGGTTGTTGATGATCCCCTTGCCCTGCTCCCACACCACCAGCTTGGTGATGTTCTGGCTGTTGGCGAGTTTTCCCGAGTAGTAGAGGTAGTTGTGGAATCCCTGGTCGGCTCCCGTCATCTTGATGTCCGTCTCGTCCCACTCGTTGACCAGGGCCTTTAGGTAGGTCTCGATGGCGATTTGTTCCCCCATGGTCGATCCGCTGCAAATCGTCGGCTTGTCGGCCATGGCCGCCAGGGTGTCCTCCCCGTAGGACCGGCGGATCCAGTTTCGGTTCTTGGTGGACTTTCCGATCCTGGTGGCCTCGGCGTTCTCCCCAAAGAAATAGAGGAGGCCGTTTTGGTGGCGGGGGAGGCCTTCGAAGGGGTTGGTTTGGAAGAGGGAATCCCGTGCATCGACCAGCATGATCCAGGAGTCGGGATTGTAGTGCTGGGCCCAGATCCAGTACCATTCGTACCGCAGGGTGGCTACGACGCGGCCGATTCTCGGATCCTTCGCCGTCTTGACGACGTTTCCGTCCTTGTCCTTCCATCCGTAGACATCGTTGAGGAGGCACATCTGAAAGATGTCGGGGGTTCCCCTCTTCATGATGCGATCCGAGGGCGTGACGGCGTCCGCCTCGAAGCAGTCCAGCTTGTGGATGTAGACCACCAGGTTTTCCTGCGATTTCAGATACTCTAGAACATTCTTCTTCAGCAAACCGTACTCCGAAGTCGCCAAGACAATGTCTCCGTCAAACCCCGTTGCCCGAAGCGTCTCGATGAAGCTCATGTAATAATCGAGCGTGTATCCCTCGGCGTAGGCCATGACCACGTCCTGATCGGGGCGGTGTTTCCCGATTTCCGGTTCGACAACGACCACAACATCGGGATCGTTGAGGGGGTAGGTTGGTTTGGGAAAGAAACTGGGAGAGTTGACCTCGATCTCGTGGGCAATTTCGAACAGACTCGACTTGCTTTCGTCCATGACAATTTTGGGTTTCCATTCGTCGGCACTGGCGATCGATGCCAACGCGAACGAAATCACCACCACCCAAAATAGCGACAGCCGAGGGACTGCCTCCAAGAGAGAAAGGTTGCTCATGTTGTCTTTTGCTGCGTTGATTCGATGTGGATTTCGATGTGGATGCCGATGTGGATGTGGATTTCGATGTGGATGTGGATGTGGATGACGGTTTCTGTTTCTACTCTCCGTCCGTTCTGAAAGGATATAGAACGCGAACTCAAGCGCTGTATTCTAAGTTCGAATCCAAGGAGATCGGGTGCCCAAGGTGTTTGGTTTGCGGTCACAGGGGTGCAAGCTATTTGGTTCTGTTCCACCGGATGATGAAACAGAAACGTTCTGGCAAATTTGAAGCGATGAGGACCTTTTGGTCTTCGAAACAAACTCTCTTCGGGTCATCCGCAACGGAACGAAAGACCCGCCATTTTACGCTTCAACGAACGTACGAGCTCGTACGATACGGTACGAGTTACCTTGCTACAGGGACGTTCGGTATCGACAATTTTACCACGCCAGCCATGCTACCAGGCAATACTGTGGTAGTGGGAATGGAAGCTTGCTGGCGCCCTAAAGAGAGTATTCAGTCATGAGCAATATCGTGTCCAACGGACTGGAAGTTGGGGAAGGGGGTTGAGGGAAATCGAATATTAAGGATTTTTTTTATGGTAGGAAAGATATCCTACCAGAAGTGGACAAAAAATGCTACCAGATTGCAGCAAAAAACGTTACCAAATGGTAGCATTTTTAGTCGCAATCTGGTAGCATTTTTTGTCCACTTCTGGTAGGATATCTTTCCTCGATACAATTTTTAATTGAAATTCTTTTCATGGGACCACTCCCAAAAAAACGGTACTGAAGAGAGTTCTGCTACTACGCACTACGTAGCACTACGTAGAGAACAAGGCCCCCAAGCAAAATCATAAAATAGCTTGCTTGATGCTTGTCGACCATGGTATTTTCCCTCATTTAAGCACTTGTTCTAATCCTCGAAACGTAGTATAATCAACACCACGAGTCTCATTACACTATATGTCGACTCATAGGTTGTTTCCTGGTCAAAATCCATGTACCAGAACCTCAGTTTTGTTGTGATTAGTACTGGACTGCTCCTTTGGACTCCGTGCCGCCACCACGACCACTGGCCATGGTGCTAACGAAAGAAGACTTTGACTTACTAGCAAAGGAAGTTCTTTGTTGGCCAGAGCGTAGGATATGGAACAATGAGAAAGAGATGAGATTCAAATCATGCTTTGGAGCTTCAGCTGAACAAGTTGCAGACTTGTGGAAAAAAATTGTTGCTCGAGGACCAGTTGTTGCTGGGGGAAAGGCGAAGCATTTGCTTTGGGCACTTGTTTTCCTCAAGGTCTATTCTACTGTTGAGATTCACTGCTCTATTGTTGGATGGCCTTCTCCAAAGACCTTTCGAAAGTGGTCTTGGTACTTTGTTGAGAGGATTGCGGAGCTGAAGAATGACCTGATTAGTCTTGACAATAGATTCGGTGGTTATAGGAGAGGAGAGACAATTCAAACTGATTGCTTCGTAAGTGTGGATGGAACAGACTGTCCTGTATTTGAGCCTCATCCTTGGTCAAAAGAGATGTATTCCCACAAATTCAATGGACCAGCACTCAAGTATGAAGTAGCTGTTTGCTTGAAGACCGGATGGATTGTTTGGATCAATGGCCCCTTTGTCGGAAGTACTAATGATTCCACGATATTCGTTGAAGGATTAGGAAGACACTTACATGCTGAAGAAGCTGTCGAAGCTGATAGTGGCTATGCAAAAGATGCAAGACTCAAGCTTCCTGGGATGGGACTGACCAGTGAAAAAAGGAAGATGAAATCAAATGCCAGGGCCCAGCAGGAAGCCATCAATGGCAGATTGAAACAATTCAACGTGCTTACTGCTCATTTTAGACACATGAAACCAAACAAGGCGACAATGATGCAACAGCATAAGCTGTGTTTCCACGCTGTTGCTGTTATTACACAGCTCAAAATCAAATCAGGGGCGCGTGTCTTTGCAGATGGATTAGATTACAGTGTAAATTATTTCTAGTCACCAGCAACGCTGTTCTTCTAGCAGCAGACCGATGGGCAAGAAACAACAACAGCACAGCGTTGGTCTCCGGCAAGTGAGCTGGATTCACAGGGTAGTTGCAACAGACTGGAGCAATCACCTAGAGCAAGGCTTGCTGGCGAGTCAACTCCTTCTGGGCCTATCAAAATTCAATCATACTGGAGAGGCTTGGATTCCAGTCCCTCCGCGGATACTAATCTTATCACTAGTAGCTAGTAGTAGTATTCCTACTGGCCTATTCCTTCTGTAATGAAAGCTGTTCTAGTTTAGCAAACTGGTAGTACTAGTAGTAGCACTACGGAGGAGGTCAAGATTCACTAAAATTGAGCAAACTGGCAAGGCTCCCC